TAAATTTATCATTTTGTTCAATTCTTAGTTTACATTTAACAAAAAAAAAATTTGCTATCAATATAAAAAATTCTTGGAACGACCCGCGAACCGCGACCCGTATGGGGTCGACCCGAATGGGTCGGCAGGCGGTCTGGGTTGTAGTCCAAAATTTGTGGGCCGACCAGAACCGGGCCAAAACCCATAGCGAGCGGGCTTTTTTCACGCGGGTCGTTATAGGGCTCATATGTTGGCGGGCCGACTCAACCCACCCAAATTGACACCTCTAGATTTAATCTCAGGTAATAAGCCAATAGATTACAAATGGATTTTTAAACAAAAGCTTGGTTCTATAAACAAATATAAAGCATGGTTGGTAGCTAAAAAGTGCACATGGTGATGGTTATTGCTATAGCTTCTTCATATAAGATGGATATATATCAAAATGGATGTATAAACAACATTTTTAAATGGATAATTAGATGAAAAAATATACATGGAGCAACTTAAGGAGGCGTTTGGTTTGCTTTTTTTTCAAGGCGTGTTCAGTTTTTAGTTTTGTAAAATATTCGAAATTTGTTTAGTGTGATATTTTTGAAAACAAGTTTAAATTTATAACATAAAACTTAAAATGTATTTTTGACATTTTGAGTGTTTTTAGTGAAATAAACGTTTAAATTAAATTTTATTCAAAAAAATTATAATATATGAAATTTAAAAAAAACTACAAAAAAATAAATATAAAAAAATTAAAAATAATTCAAGCTCTCATCAGTTATTTTACTAAATAATCAGTGTTTATGAAATAAAATATCATAAAATAATTTTTTAAAATTCCAAACCAAATGTGTTTTTCAATTTTCAGTTTCAAGAAATAGTTTTTCAGAATGATAAATCAGACGAGTTTTTAGCAGTTATAAAACAAATTCTCAAAATAGAAAATTGAAAATGAAACCAAATGGGTCCTAAATGTTTCATAGTTGAAGGTTGTGAAAATAAAGTGTATAAACTGACTAAATTTTTATATAAAGTTGAACAAGTACCAAAACAGTGGTATGGAAACTTTGACCAACAATATTATCACATGGGGTTAAGATCAATGAATGTCATGTGTGTGTACCTGAAGGCATAAGAATTCTTGTGTTTGTCTTCATATTAATGCCATACTTATAATGGAGACTAGTAAGATACAATTATGTCTACGATTAAAGACTTAGATCTCGCTCATATTATCTTGGGAATTCAAATTAAAAGAAATAATGTATGTAACACTAAAATTCTAACAATGCATAGTTTTATCCTAGGACATAGACGCGTCGAGAAGTGCGAAATATATTATCCTAGGACATATTATCTTTAGGACATTGCTCTTTGCAAGTCTCTGTTTAATTCAAGTCAATATTTTTTATACATTTAACTTTATATATAATTCTACAGTCTCTTGTTTATTATATATTATTATGATTTTTTTAAAAAATTCCAATAGTGCACGTGTTCTTAAATTCATATTTTTAATGGATGTAATTTTATAGGGCTCAAACAAGTACGATCTAAATAGACATGAAGTAAATGTAGTGGTTTCCTGATATACTTCAAAATTGTGGATTGTGGTGATGACTAACATTGGGTAGATCAATACCAAAACAAATCGTCTTTAGCCACCAATAATAATGATTTTTAAACAATCTTTAAGCAACGCTTTTGAATGGATTTGATCCCCAATGATTCGCAAGAAAGAAGAACCATAGCTCTCAAAATAGAGTCTATTCTTGTCTCTGGCCGTCATCATCGTCGCTTTATGTTGTATTATAGTTTCTTTTTAATCAAGATGTTGTATTCCTATTGAAAACGAGATTTATCGTCAAACTTTTTGATAGTTAATTGATTTGGATGTGGCCAAATTAGATAATGAAAATCAAAAGCACCAATAGTGAAACTTTCGATGGATCAGTTTGGTTTCGAATTCTTGAGTCAATGTAAAGGGCCTTTGGTTGTAACAGTCCAAATTAGGGCCATAGCCAACTCCAAGTAAGTCACAATATCTCTTGTAGAAGCCAATCCTATCTTCCACTCGTGAGTTTGAACCTTTACCACATTCATTTCCACCATTGATGATGTTGGTAACGACACCATAACCAGACACTTGTTCAGCTTCTAAGTCTGCGGTTGAGGGTGTCCATCTCCCACTGATTGCATCGTGCCACGAGGGCATTGGAGCTTGTGGTGTCATCCAAAACCATAATGCAGTTTTGAATGAAATGGTTGGGTCATTTGCAACTGCATCTGGGTTGTTCAGCAGATCAGACCCTATGGCTCTTCCTGCTGGAGCGTAGTTGTAATTGCTGCAATACATAATTCAAGAAATTAAGAAGCGCCCGTTACTTTCAGTTGAGCGATAGTACAAGAATTTATGGCATGTTGCGTAAGCAGTATTGAACGACACTGCAAAAATCTTGTCAAGTGGTTTTCTAGCACTGAATGACAAACATGCTTGTGTTTTACACGATACTTACTAGGAAATCTGGATAGGCCCTCTACTGAAATACTTTTTACCAGGAGCACATGGCCACCGCGGGCTTGCAACACAATAATCCATTGGATTGCCGTGTTCTTGCTTGAAGCAATATCCCCATGAATATGGACCATCAGGTGCAAAAGCCCATCCGCCTGTGTAATTCCATGAACAAATTAGTACAATATTGTTTCGAATGGGAAGGTTACGTTTATTACCACTTTTGACTCGATATGTCCAGTATGCTCACAAAACACGCATGCATATGCAAGATTTAAATATAGCCTATAGTTTCATGAGACGTTTGAGCCAAGAAAGCGGCAATTTCTCATTTTCCAGTATCATTATCGCCCTGGTTCCAAAAGCTCCAAAGGAGTTAGTAGCAGCAATGAAAGCTTCATAAGTGTAAAAACCATTTGCAGGGCAATTTCCATCGTTGCGATTCTTCAACATTTGATCGAATGGAGATTTGCTTATTATCGAACCTACCCATTCTTGAGTCAATGTAAAGGGCATTTGGTTGTAACAGTCCAAATTAGGGCCATAGCCAACTCCAAGTAAGTCACAATATCTCTTGTAGAAGCCAATCCTATCTTCCACTCGTGAGTTTGAACCTTTACCACATTCATTTCCACCATTGATGATGTTGGTAACGACACCATAACCAGACACTTGTTCAGCTTCTAAGTCTGCGGTCGAGGGTGTCCATCTCCCACTGATTGCATCGTGCCACGAGGGCATTGGAGCTTGTGGTGTCATCCAAAACCATAATGCAGTTTTGAATGAAATGGTTGGGTCATTTGCAACTGCATCTGGATTGTTCAGCAGATCAGACCCTATGGCTCTTCCTGCTGGAGCGTAGTTGTAATTGCTGCAATACATAATTCAAGAAATTAAGAAGCGCCCGTTACTTTCAGTTGAGCGATAATACAAGAATTTATGGCATGTTGCGTAAGCAGTATTGAACGACACTGCAAAAATCTTGTCAAGTGGTTTTCTAGCACTGAATGACAAACATGCTTGTGTTTTACACGATACTTACTAGGAAATCCGGATAGGCCCTCTACTGAAATACCTTTTACCAGGAGCACATGGCCACCGCGGGCTTGCAACACAATAATCCATTGGATTGCCGTGTTCTTGCTTGAAGCAATATCCCCATGAATATGGACCATTAGGTACAAAAGCCCATCCGCCTGTGTAATTCCATGAACAAATTAGTACAATATTGTTTCAAATGGGAAGGTTACGTTTATTACCACTTTTGACTCGATATGTCCAGTATGCTCACAAAACACGCATGCATATGCAAGATTTAAATATAGCCTATAGTTTCATGAGACGTTTGAGCCAAGAAAGCGACAATTTCTCATTTTCCAGTATCATTATCGCCGTGGTTCCAAAAGCTCCAAAGGAGTTAGTAGCAGCAATGAAAGCTTCATAAGTGTAAAAACCATTTGCAGAGCAATTTCCATCGTTGTGATTCTTCAACATTTGATCGAACGGAAATTTGCTTATTATCGAACCTACCCATTCTTGAGTCAATGTAAAGGGCATTTGGTTGTAACAATTAGGGCCATAGCCAACTCCAAGTAAGTCACAATATCTCTTGTAGAAGCCAATCCTATCTTCCACTCGCGAGTTTGAAACTTTACCACATTCATTTCCACCATTGATGATGTTGGTAACGACACCATAACCAGACACTTGTTCAGCTTCTAAGTCTGCGGTCGAGGGTGTCCATCTCCCACTGATTGCATCATGCCACGAGGGCATTGGAGCTTATGGTGTCATCCAAAACCATAATGCAGTTTTGAATGAAATGGATGGGTCATTTGCAACTGCATCTGGGTTGTTCAGCAGATCAGACCCTATGGCTCTTCCTGCTGGATCGTAGTTGTAATTGTTGCAATACATAATTCAAGAAATTAAGAAGCGCCTGTTACTTTCAGCCAAGCGATAATACAAGAATTTATGGCATGTTGCGTAAGCTGTATTGAACGACACTGCAAAGATCTTATCGAATGGTTTTCTAGCACTGAATGATAAACATGCTTTTGTTTTACACGATACTTACTAGGAAATCCGGATAGGCCCTCTACCGAAATACTTTTTACCAAGAGCACATGGCCACCGCGGGCTTGCAACACAATAATCCATTGGATTGCCGTGTTCTTGCTTGAAGCAATATCCCCATGAATATGGACCATCAGGTGCAGAAGCCCATCCGCCTGTGTAATTCCATTGAACAAATTAGTATAATATTGTTTCGAACAGGAAGGGTACGTTTATTAGCACTTTCGACTCGATATATCCAGTATGCTCACAAAACACGCATGCATATGCAAGATTTAAATATAACCTGCAGTTTCATGAGACGTTTGAGCCAAGAAGGTTGCAATTTCTCGTTTTCGAGTATCATTATCGCCTGTGGTTCCAAAAGCTCTAAAGGAGTTAGCAGCTGTTATGAAAGCTTCATAAGTGTAAAAACCTTTTGCAGGACAATTTCCATCGTTGCGATGCTTCAACATTTGATCGAAGAGGGATTTGCTTATTATCGAAACCACCCCTTCTTGAGCCAATGTACCCATAGGGGTTGAGAGACACAAGAAAACCAATATCAAAGTCTTCATTGTTTACCGGAGGAAGTATTTTCTCAAGCTGTGAGTTTAGGTGTAGGGGAATTTAGGGTTTATATATGGGAGAGGGATAGACTTTTCCACAAAATTTGATAGTCTTATTAATTAAAATCGAAGCTGAAACGACAATTTTGTGACAAGTGTAACAATGAGTTCATATAAGTCAAGAATCATGGCCCAGCCATTAGGGACGAGTCAATACTTGACTTAGCAACATGCTTGGTCTAGTCTGTAGAAAGGTAAATGCACTTTAAACTATTTTTGACCCTATTGTATGACTGGGAGTTACTTTAGAAAAAGTATTTTCAACTTTCTTATTTATTCATACGTAAACTTATATGTAACTATTTTAAGCTTATTAAAACATGATGCATGACGAAAAGAAGTATGATGAGGTCTCGTAGTATAATAGAATGGGCTCTTTTCTCATCCACTCATGGTCTTTTAGTTGGATTAAAGTTCTCATTTCTTCCTTCAAAGTTTTATAGTTTGCTTTTCTGGTGGTTTGAATTAAATTAATTAAAAAAAAAAAAAAAAAGAACTAAACTAGACAATTTTGGAGAAGGAATTTTTTCTATGATGTTCGGCAGAAATTAATTAATGCCGTAGAAAACGGGGATAGGAAACATGTAGGAAAGAATAGGAAATAATGGTGCAGTCAATCTCATTAATTAATTTTCTTGTTCAAAATTCCATTGTTGGAGCCCCATTTTAAGCGAAAAAATGCATTTTTAAATAGTGATTTTTGGAAAATATGAAGTTAAAAATGAAGAAATAATTATCAATTTATGTGTAATATTATTTTATTGAAAAACATGTCGTTAAAAATAAGTTTTGACAAAAATGAATTTTTGATAAAATAGGGCTCAAACAATAAAAGGGATCGAAGTCTAAGTTATTTATTTGTATTGCATTAGGGGTGAACAAATGTATCAAATCAGAATTGATGAAACTATAGTGCTAACAAAAATTAATTTCGAATACTTTCAACTGAAAATCAAATTGTTGAGTCCGATTCTCAAGTCGTAACGTCACACCAAGTGGTTATTGAGTCTCTTCAATTCTATCAATCATTTTGAGAAGTTTCGCTATGACCAAAAATGATATACCTAATTTATTTCTTTGACATCATTCCAGAAAATAAAGGGCTCTTTGTATACGAAAATTCACCTGGCGAAACCTCGAAAGGGACGCATGCACGGCTGCTAGTTCAATTTTGTAATATGTGGCTACACTTAATCGAGAGAAATTGTTCCTGTACAAACTACTTTTCTCTTACTAATCAAGACTTGTCATTTATATCTAGACATGATTGAATTTATTATCTTTTCTTATTTATACTAACATTATAGGTCGTTAACTGGTCAGAAGATTGATACAAGTAAATTCAATTTTGGACTGGAAGCAGTTCGTCGTGCACCAAACAGGTCAATTGTCACATGAATGAGAATGTGTTATGAAAGATAGGGTTGAGTCTTATGCATTAATCGTTTATTCACTATCATCCTCGTACAAGTCAACAAACAAAGATGAACCTAGGTTTGGTGAGTTCAAGTTGGGCCCAAGTGTAATTGGACTCCAAATAACTCGCGCAATCTTATATTGAGCTAGTCCTTACTTGTCGAAACTATGTGAGCCAGGGCATGTGAGCTAAATAGGGGAAGGTTATCTAAGTAGAGTTATTTTTAAATTAGTAATTTACTTACTTTCAACATTAATCAACAAAAAATATATTTTTGAAAACTTAGGAGCTGTTCTCTTCGTCTTCTAGTTTTGAATTCATTTTGGGTTTTGTGTTTTGAGTGTTCATTTTGAGATTGTTGAAAATGTGTTCTTTTTGTCATTTTGAAAAATTATTTTCAAAAATAAAAAAAAAATTAAGTTTTTGTTTGGTTTTAACTGAAAACAACAAAAATGACTTTTTTTGGCGTTTTCCGTTTTCTATGTAAATTTTAAACTCGTTTTTGGAAATTCGTTTCTGGAAATAGATAAGTAAACATGTTTTTAGTGTTTTCAAAAATTGAAAACTGAAAATAACCTAAAAACAGTAAATAGAACATGCTCTTACTTTTGCTTATTTATATATGAACGTACTTATAAGTAATTAAGTAAATATCTAAGCTTAAATAAACACGCAATAGACTGTTGTTGAAATGATATTGATTGGCAGAAACGAATGCGGAGGAAAATTTACACTCTACCAACTTAAGAAGGAAATTGAAATTAATAGTCTTGGCTATCTCATTGTCCTTTTTGTCAAATTGAATATGATAGTTTCACAACTTCAAAGAGTCCCATGTTCTTTTTTAGTTCATTGAACATGTTCAAGTAATCTTGTTTCACCTCAAAACAGTAACCTAGGTATTTTGACTGGTAGAAAACGAGATAAACAATCTAATCAAATGACAAAATCTAGACATAAACCAATCGCTAAAGGTGCAATGGCAAGGCCAAAAGGCCATTATGGAACCCACACTAGGAGGCCCAATTTGTGGGATTCGAACAAACACGTAACAACTATAATTTTTCAGGTGCGTCGAGACACTTGGAACGATTTCATGCTAGAAAAATGCTCTTGGAGCATATTGCAAAGTCTAGTACGTGCACATTAATTGATGACTTCACCACTAACCATTGACACCATGCCACATGTCTCTTCATTTAAATCAATGACCAACTCGATACAATCCTAGACCATCAGCTAAAGAAAAAGTAAACTCAAAAAAGCAAGGAAAAAAAAACTAATACAAAGTAGGTAGAAGTCATTTTAAGGGATAGTGTAACTATATTTATAGAAGTTAATCTAAAAAAAAAAAAAAACACACACTCTAACTATGTGTTTCCATTACCTTCGTTTATTGGATTTTTGGCTTGCAAATGTGAATGTTAATACTGAATATTGAATTTTCAAGTCTTTGCAATGATATGTAATATTATGGCAATGCTTATTTTTCAATGTGTTTGTCAATATTACATACTTAAATTCTCGGTGATTGCAAAGGATGTTGTGCCAATGTGTTAATACAAAAGCACAAAAATAATAATTAGAAAAAAAAAAAACCCGATAAATTTAATTAAGTAAAATTTTGGAAATTATACATCAATAAACAAAACTCACCACGAATTTATTGCATCCTAGAAATTTTCGGTTAGGATTTGCATCAATTCATAAATGTCTCTCCACGATGCCACAATGTCGCCAAGTTTGCTTCAAAAGCTACAAATTTCTTCATATTATTTCTTGATAAAGAAATCTATTACCTAATCTCTCATCTCCTAGATGCGAGTGGGAATTTTTAACAATTAAATTGATTGTTTTGATATCTAGTGGGGTCCATGTTCCCACAATTTTGAAAGATGAGGAACTTGAGGACTACAAATGATAGTTTGAGGACTGAAATGTCACACTAACCAAAGGTTGAGGACACTGGTTGGAAACCCAAAGTTATGATAGGCCAAGAATTTAATTTGGATTAAGTCCCTACTTGAGCCCCATTTTTGTAAGAAAATTGTATTTTGGAAAATATATGGTTAAGAAATAAGAAAGAGTTTTTGTTTACATGTGAAATTTACATGTAAGGATGTGTGGTTGAAAAATGAATATTGAAAAACTAATGAATATTTTAGTACAGGTCACCCAACTTTCATTTCTCTTTGAAATCTGGCCATTCATTTTTAATTTGGAGCAATCAAATGACCTGATTATACTATTGTCAGTTTAATAAATATGTTGACCTGAATATTAAAACTAATGGATGGATCTACTTCCCCCAACACTCTAACCCAACTCCACCCGCCAAAACCAAACCAGAAAAGTCTGCCATCCACCGTCCGCTCGTCGCCTACTGCCCTCTACCCAAATGACACCATAACACAATCGCGACCACCACTACCACCTCAAACCGTTAACCGCCGCCGCATCCACAACCCACAGCCGTTAGGCTCGTGGGCTCATTTTATTTATAAAATAAAAAAATAAAGGCAAAAGCCTTTTCACTTTTCAGTGACCATAAATTCAGTGACCGTTCTGGTCACTGAGATTTTATTTTTTTTTCATTTTTTCTCTATAAATATCTACCCCCTAATCAACATTTTTTTCCCNTATGAGAGTTTGGATGAGATTTATGAATAAACTATAACTATTTTGCACATTAAATTTAAGTTAATACTAAATGCAATTGAGTGATTGAATACAAATTGGATTTTTCTTATGAATAACAAATGAGTACTAGGATCACGAATCCCTATGCAATATTCACCTTGAAATCTAGTTCTACAACATCGACAACATGTTTGATAATTTGAAAAATCAATGATCCTAATATATCCAACAATCTCTCTCGAGAATTATTAGACTTATTCATGTAAATCATCTGACTATATCTCTATGACAAATGTAAATTTACAAGAATACATGTAGTTTTATGATCACTTAAATATTTACGCAAGGCATAGAGGTATATCTCTATCCTCTATCAGATCTTACAATGACTAATACATCGTCAAGTCTAGTCCCCTTCTCACGAATGCATGAAATAGACTACCACACTCACACAATCATATGCATAATAATTGTGGAAACAAATAAGTGAATA